TCTGAGATATGACAAGCTTTGCTGTGTTACTGACAATCTGTGAAAGGRTATGTGGAATGTGAAAGCATTTAGTCCATTATGTTTGTTCAGTATGAAAATGTAGAAACAAGAGGGCAAGTGATCTATTAAACACACACAGGTGCACAAAAATTGCTGAATAAGCAGGTGGTAACAAAGATGAGTGAAGAGCAGAAGTCTTCAGGCCATTAAAGGAGCTGCCCTGAAGACACCCTGAAGAGGGTCAGCCTGAGCTTTATCTCTGGTAAGAATGGGAAAATATAATTATCATGGGTACAACAAGATATTTGAGGGCGCTTATAGGCTTGTTCTGGGATATCAGCAGGAGACTGCAAAACTTCCTATGGGATGTTCACAGAGACAGGGAAAGGAAGGATCAGGAAGGATCTAGGAAGACGCACAGGAAATTATATGTAGGGGGGCTTAMGTGGGACCTGGCAGCATTCAGTACATCTGTCTTACTGAGCTCTCTGCTTGATCATAGCAACTAGTCTTATTTTTTATGAAGACCATTTCTAACTTATCTTTCTCYCCTAATTATCCTGCCCCAGTGAATTTAATCCTACGGATGTGTAATCTGCCATCAGATTTAAACTGGACTAGCCAGTGAGCAGGAGGAGACACACATACATGCACATGCTACAAACCTAGGCTTATTTTTTTTAACGGCCTTTACAGATGGCTCATGGGAATAGTAAAACAATTCAAAGGAATGTGATGAATTTTAGAATATGCAAAATACTGTTAAAACATGAAAGAAAATGCTGAAAGAACTACTTCTCTGCTCTGCTACAGTAGTCTTATARACATTATTTTTAACATTTCTAGTGKATTAAAAATAAAATTTAAAATAATTGCATAAAAGCAATGTACAATTTACATAATTTTGCTGAAAGTACTTTATCATCCAATTAATGCCATCTTCTGAGCAATGAAGGAGAAATCTGTGCTGTGTTTTSCCTGCTAGCCAGCCTTCTGAACATACTCCACCATACCAACTGCATTACAACCTGTCTGTGATAATACTGTTTACCAGGGGCAATTATCATAATGGTATTTGACACCCTATTCTGGATTATATTTTACTTTCCACTTAGTTCATAAACTAGTTCAAGCTCTCAGTTACTTGTTACTCATTTTTGTCTCGTTTCTGTTATAGCAGCTGTTACTGCAGATTCCTCATTCTAACTGTAAGATGAAGAAAGTGCTCTTAATATGGAATAACTGCCTGTCTTTGGACACTTAGTTGTCATCATACACAGCAAGCAAAAACCTACTCGAAGGAAAAAAAGTAATTTCCCTAGTAAGGTTTTATTTTGGAGTCTTGCCGAATGTTTTTGTCTAACATTTTCAGTAATGAAACTGTGCCATTAGATAGGAAAACTGGGTCATCATGGCACTATGGAAACACATCAGCTAYAGGACTGAAGTTTAATGAAGACTTTTATATATGACTATGTCTAATAATGAATTCAACATATCATTTAGCTCATAATAAGGCATATWTCCATGTATGTCCATGATACTCAGGAGCATGCACAACTGTCTCCTGAAGACAGCTCAAAAATTTATTTAATGGCAGAAAAATACTGTCAACAACACAGATGGATCCCATGGAAAATATTCTCAATCACCTGTTCTTTGCACTTTTCATCCTAAGTGTTTTAAAATATTTTCCCATGCAAACATTTGAATTTCCAGAATAGTAATCAAATYCTTTATTTTTCAGTTTCTCTTAATACAAATTAACTTGCTGGGAAGCACTTATTTTCCATGTCTATTTGCTAGCAAAAAGGCCAATATGACAGCTGGGTATTTGCTTAAATGACCTTAGAGCAGCCTGACTGATTACAACAAACTGGYAGGTGCTTGCCATGATTTTGCTTGTTGTCCCAGGCAGTTGTCCCAGACAGAAAGATCCTGTGGAACCTGCACAATAAGACAGATGTCTCCAATTATCATTTTGATGGTGTAAAGGTATCACATCCYTTTGCCTGCCTAAAGCAGGGACATTAAGTTCAGTTCAGAGGTCTGGTGTGCTCATGTTTTATGTTGGACAGGGAGGAGTTTGTGTAATGGCTTTTYAAACGACAGCTGTTGCAAGACTGCAGTGCAATTAAATTATTTGTCATAAAAAAAAACAATTAAAATGTAGAATATGTGCTTTGCAACCTCAGTTTTGTGCATGTTGAACCTAGATTGRTGTAGCCAATACATGCAAACAATATAAACGGGCACTGACTAAGCCTTCCTAAGTATTCCTAAGCCTCCCATGTAACCAGTGTCAGGATGAGAGCATGCGGTGTTAAGCTGTGCCAAGGAGAGGTTTAGATTGGATATCGGGTGAAATGTCTTCACAGAAAGGGCAATTAGACATTGGAATGGGCCACCCACAGAGTTGGCGGAGTCACCCTCTCTGCAGATGCTTAAGGAAAGACTGGACATGGCATTCAATGCCATGGTCTGATTGACAAAATGGTGTTGGGTTATAGGTTGGACTCGATTACCTGAGGGCTTCTCCCACTGAAATTGATTGTGATTCTGTATGCTGATGTGTGATTAAACTGCAGTCTATGCGACAGCAACTACAATTTTACCATTACAGTGACCTAGTAAAGAAAGAAAACACTGCACTTCTGATCTTTGCAAACGGCAGGAGCCAGCACAGCACCACAGAACACAGGGCAATGAACCCGCCCTGAGGTGACCGGTGTGCTGGGCGCCGGGYGGCTCCCCGGCCACGCACCGCGGCCCCAGCGCTGCCCCGGCCGGGCTCGGCTGTCCGGGAGAGACCCCAGCCCTGCCCCGGCTCTCCGGGAGAGGTCCCGGCTGTCCGGCAGAGGCCCCAGCCCTGCCCCGGTTATCCGGGTGAGGTCCCGGCTATCCGGGAGAGGTCCCGGCGCTGCCCCGGCTGTCCCCGGCTATCCGGGAGAGACACCAGCCCTGCCCCGGCTATCCGGGAGAGGCCCCGGCTCTGCCCCGGCTATCCCCGGCTGTCCCCGGCTGTCCGGCAGAGGCCCCGCCCGGGCCCGGCGCTGTTTCCGGGGCAGCCGCGGCCGTTCCGGGCTGCGGCGGCGGCGCGGGCGCCATGGGGGTGACGAGACAGAAACACGCCAAGAAGATCATGGGCTTCTACAAGCACAACTTCCAGTTCCGCGAGCCCTTCCAGGTGCTGCTGGACGGCACYTTCTGCCAGGCCGCGCTCCGCAACAAGATCCAGATCCGGGAGCAGCTGCCCGGGTACCTGGACGGCGCCGCGCAGCTGTGCACCACGCGGTACGGCGGGGAGCGCTCGGGGCTCCCGGGGAGGGGAACTTGCAGGAGGATGGGAGCATCCCTCAGACCCAGCTGCCTTTCCGAAGGTGGCACGAGTTGCTGGGCCAGCGGTAGCCCCGCTRTGTGAGGGAGGGCCGGGTCGGTCTCTTGCCATCCTCAGTGTCTGCTTGGCGAAGCGGTGGGAGCCGGGCACGCTGAGATCTGGGCCTGGAGGGAGTTCCTGGCTGGAGCTGCAGCCTGCCAATRTCGGGTTGTTGCCAAAGTAGCTGTTTGCAAGGGAGGACAAGGATATACTAGGCAAAGACATGGAAGTAAAGCGTGCACGCTACATACTGAAGTTGCGTCCAAGTTGCCTTTGCTATTACTTTATTATGTATATTGTATATATTAAAATGCAATAACACAGTTACATTGTATATCTGCAATAACAATAACCAACTGCCCACTATGGATGCAAGTAGTGAAAATACCAGGAAGATGTATACTCCAGGCCCAAAAAACACACTGAGCCAGTCTTGCACAGTGTATGGAGCTGACCTAGGTTTCTAAACAGTATAGTCATGTCCTTAGCTGTGAAAGGTTTGGGAATCGTTTTCATCCAAACTGTATTSCTGTCATGTTGAAACATCACTTCTTCCTTCTTTCAGCAGTATATGTTGGTCATTTTGACCAGCTTCCACTTAGCCCAGCTGAATGGACTCATTTTCTCTGCTGTCAGAGCACTGAGTTCTGAGACAGCACCTCAATGTTATGAAAAAGGCCTTGCTGGGGAAATGAGCTGGCTCACTGTGAGTGTCTTTGCAAAAAGAACATGCTCCAGTCTCTGCAGAGGTTGTCTTCAAAGGCTTAACTTCCTTYTCTAGAAAGAAGAATAATTGCTGCCATGTTTTTGAAGGTGTATTTCAAAGCTATGTATTTCTACTGCTCTCTGCATTTCATAGTAGGACTCAGTAGCTTAAGTAAGTTAGGTTTTACCTCCTATTCATATCCAAGTGAGCATTCTCATAGGCTGCTGTGCTGTCATGTGTGAACATCCACTCTGAGTTCTGCAAAGAGCAGGATTTTAGGTTTGAATTTTATTGTCTAGTTGGAATGTTGTGGACCCAGAAACTTCTAGATTTTTTAACCATAGGGACAGTTTGTCTTCTGCTTGAGTTTTCTGGATTCAGATAGAAAGTTTTAAGCAAGGTGATTGATGCTAATACAGAGTTTAACTTGCACATAGTAATTAATCCATTTGTATTAAATTGTAGAATTATGAAATAGTTTGAGTTGGAAGGGACCATAAAGATCATCTAGTTCAGCTCTGCTGCTGTGGGCTGGRACATTTTCCAGTGACCAGGTTGCTCAAAGCCCCATCAAGCCTGTCCTTGAACACTTCCAGAAAATGRGACTTCTACAGCTTCTCTGGGCAACCTGTTCCAGTGTCTTACCACCCTTACAGTAAATAATTTCTCCCTTATATCTGTTGTAAACCAATTCTCTTTCAGTTTAAAGCCATTTCTCCTTATCCTGTCCCTCCATGCCCCTGTTAAAAGTCACTCTCCATCTTCCTTGTTAGGCCCCTTCTAGGCATTGCAAGGCTGCTCTAAGGTTTCCCCAATGCCTTCTCTAGGCTACACTCAACTCTCACAGCCTGTCTTCATAGGAGAGGGTACTCCAGCCCTCTCATCATCTTCATGGCCCTTCTCTGGACTTACTTCAACAGGTTCATGTCCTTGTTACCCTGGGGTTGGAAGACCTTGACGTGGTACTCCAGGTGGGGTTGTACCAGAGTGGAGTAGGCAGGGAGAATCYCCCCCCTCAGCTTGCTGCTGCTGACACTGCTTTTGATGAAGCCCAGGACACAGCTGGYTTTCACAYTGCCAGCTCATGTTGAGCATCTTGTCCACCAACACCTCCCAGGTCACTCTGGTCAGGGCTACTCTCAATCCATTCTCTTTCCAGCCTGTATTTGTGCTTGGGTTGCCCTGAYCCATACAGAGGACCTTGCACTTGGCTTTGTTGAGCTTCGTAAGGATTACACAAGCCCATCTCAAGCCTGTCCAGGCCCCCAGGGTGGCATCCCTTCCCTCCAGCACCACACAGCTTGGTGTCAATGGCAGACTTGCTGAGCCCTGGATCCCACTGYCCATCTCACTGACAAAGTTGTTAAACAGGTCCCAATACCAAACCCTGATGACACTTGTCACTGGTCTCCACTTGGACACTGAGCTGTTTATTGCAGCTCTTTGAGTGCAATCCTCCAGTCAATCCCACATCCACCAAGTGATCCATCTGTCAAATCCATGCCTCCAATGTAGATAAGGATGTTGTGTGGAACAGTGGTGAAAAGTGGTGCATAAGTCCAGTTGGGTGACATCTGTTTGTTGTTTTTCCTTATCTGTCAGTACTGTAACTCTGTCATAGAAGGCCACGATATTTTTCATGATTTCCCCTTAGTGATGCCATTTTGGCTGTCATCAGTCAACTGCTTTGTTTTCCACATTCCTTATATACTTTCCAGGAGGATTGTCTCCATGATCTTGSCAGGCACAGACATGAGACTGACTGGCCTGTTGTTCCCCATATCTTTTAYTTCTGTTTTTAAAAAGAATTAAATTTTGAAGTTTTATAATCAGTCAATTTAAAATTAAATTACATTTAAAAATAAACTAAGTTTTTTAAAAAAATCATTTGTTAAGTAGAGGTTCTAATGCTAGGTGGTATCCAAACATAAATTTAAGCATTCAGCATTGTCACTGGTGTGAATTATTCTTAAATCATTTACTATATCTTAATGTTATTACTGGTTAATCATGTTTACAACCAAGGAAACCTTGCTGATGTGTTCAGATTGGGTATTGCTTTCAGAGTTCTGGGTGCTATTTACAAATTGTAGAGCCTGAACAATTGGGCATTGCTCGTTCCTGAAAATTCAAGTCACCCTTTTGCTGTTGTAAAAAATAGGAGGTCTTTTTTTCGTTTAAAAATCATTGTTTCTTTTGGTTTTCAGATGTGTTATAAAAGAACTGGAATCACTGGGGAAAGAATTGTATGGAGCAAAATTAATTGCCCAGAGATTTGAAGTTCGAAACTGTTCTCACCATAAGAATCCTGTGAGTGGTTCGACCTGTTTATTTTCCATGATTGAAGATGGCAACCCTCATCACTTCTTTATTGCTACACAGGTAAAAGCTCATGGGAAATGCAACTCCATTTCATTTGCAGTGGTGCTTTGATACCTAAGGATGAAGAAGCCTAGAGTAACCTTGATTATGAGGTTTTTAAATAGTTTGTGGGAATTAATCATGTAAAGCCTTACGTGCTCTTTAATGTATTTGCTAATTATGAAGCAGAGAATCTTTTCTCTTACTTGAACTAGATTTTTTGACTTTGTAATSATATTGCTTAGTTTAGCTGAAAGTGCACAAAACGTACTGCCTACTGACATGTAAAAAACAACTTGTGAATGTTAATTTGCACAGTCCTTGTGTGTGCATCTCCTTCCCTAAGCTGCTTTGCACAATAGTATGAGAAATGAAATACAGTGTTAACATCCAAATAACTTCAATTCTAAGAAATTTTGAACTAAAGAATAAATAACTGTACAAATAAGAAAGGTAGCTTTTTCTTGGGCTTGTTTGTGGGACTCTATGTATAAATTATATACAATATATATGAAATGGTTTATAGTCGAATTCTTCATACTTACATAACATAGGATTTTAAGAGGATTTATTACAGAAGAAATTATGTTACTTGTGGTTTGATGGTTGGCATACGAGTGAATTGGGACTTTTTCCTCAAAAAAATGTATGTATGCATATACATTCAGGAAAAAAAGAAAAGAAAAAGATAATTTTTACATCAGAAGTACAGCTAATCAAGAGAGAAATTTAAWTTGCTCTGAAAGGCATTGCCATGTATATGTGCTAGATTAAGTTTCTTRTCTTTTTCATAGTGTAACTTATCTTCATAGTTTCGTATTAAAAATAGGTGCATTTGAATTGCAAATACCATTTAATCTGAAAATATTGACCAAAGTATTTAATTTTGCAGGACCAGGACTTATCAAACAAAGTAAAAAGGAAGCCTGGCATTCCTCTCCTCTTTATTATTCAGAACACTATGGTGYTAGACAAACCTTCTCCTAAATCTTTGGCATTTGTTCAAAAGTTGCAGACAAATCAGCTTGTTCCAGAGTACCAAAAACAAAGTATTGTGGAGCTTAAAGAAAAAGAAGGACTAGTAAAGCAAGAAGGTGAAAAGAGAAGAAAACGCAAAAGGGCAGGCGGCCCCAATCCTCTCAGCTGTCTGAAGAAGAAAAAGAAGAAAACACAGGAAGGTCAGGAGCCTTCTGCTGAAAAGAAAAAAAGACGAAAAAGAAAACGAAAGAGAGTTAAAGCAGAAGCCATGCAGACAGTGCAGAAGAATGAAGGAGAATAAACCCATCTTTGTAAACAACAAGAGCTTGAACATTGTTTGAACTTTGAAAAAAAAAGAATATGCAGTCATATGAAATTGAGTTAATATTAAAATTTATTTTTATGAGTTGTTACTTCTTACTACTGTATCTCAACATTTGCAGGTTATTGTCYTGATAATTTATTCTGTTATTCAGTATTGGGTTTGTGACAAAGTATTTAAGAACCCTCATATTTCATTATTCTCTCCAATATCTTGGTTTCTGTCAAAATTCACATGATATGTAGTAATTTTTTAGGAATGCTTCTTGGCTTTCATATGGATTTTGGTGGGATATTAGACTTATTTCTATCTCAAGGTTGCTAATCTTAATAAAACTGGTTTTTACAATTGGCCTGTTAGAGATTATGAAACTGACTTAAAATAACTGACTGATCTCTGTTGTTTGAATACAAAAGTTAACTCGTGGAAAGAGACCGCATGGCCTCAAAAGCTTAAATGCTCTCCTGTTCAGCTTAAATTTCTCTGTCGTGTGAACCAATATGTCTCTTGGTGTTGATGTTTATTTGTTAAGAAAATCCCAGAGGGTGTGCAATTTTGTTGACATTGCTGACATTATAATAGCATCTGTAGTCTTGCCTATTTTATCTGTAGTTTATTCTTAATTTTTAATAGGAAAAATGCAACTTAAAAACACTGAATCAAAGTACTGCCATTACAGTATAGCAGAGCTGTGCAGGAGTCCAGGAATACAAACAGCTGAGGGTGATGGGACTGGGGCCCTGCTGCCTRTTCTGTAAGCTTATGAACAGAACAGAACTGGGTTGGAGGAGAGTTGTGGTTTAACTCCAGCTGGCAACTCAGCCCCACACAGCCGTTCACTCAACCTCCCCTGCTTTAGGACGGAGACAATTGGAAGGGTGAAGGGAGAGAACTTGTGGGTTAAGATAAAGACAGTTTAATAGGGAAAGTAAAAGCCATGCAAAGCTTGGCCTGGTTTTTGGTAGCAGGGGGCACTATAAAGATGACTTCTGTGAGAAGATACTAGCAGCTTCCACCATGTCCAGCAGAGCCAGTCCCTGATGGCTCTGAAGATGGACATGCTACTGGCCATGGCTGGGCCAATTGGAGATGTTGGTTACACCTCCAATAACATATTGAAGAAGAAAAGCAAAGCAAGTGTGCATGCAGTTCTTTTCTAGCCAGAGAAGAGGAGGTGAGAACATGTGAGGGAAACCACATGGAGACACCAAGGTCAGTGGAGGAGGAGGAGGTGCTTCAGGCACCAGAGCCGAGATTGCTCTGCAGGCCATGATGATCACCATGGTGACACAGCCGTGCCCCTGCAGCTCATGGGGTCCACAGGGGGTGCAGAGATCCACCCACAGCCCATGGGAGAGGTGCCCACACCAGAGCGGGTGGATGCCTGGAGGAGGCTGTGGTCCAGTGGGAGGCACAGTGGAGAGAGAGGGCTCTGCCTCCAGGCTGGAGCAGCCTGTCCTTGGAGGACTGCACCCCATGGATGAGTGACCCAAGCCGCTGCAGCAGTTTGGGAGGAATGTCTGCCTGTGGGAGGAGCTCACATTGCAGCGGTTCTGGGACAGCTGCTGCTTGTGAGATTTGGACCATGCTGGAGGTCATGGAGAACTGTCTCCCATGGGAGGGAACCCACAGCGCGGCARGGGAAGGACTCCTCTCCCTAAACAATGGAAGAAGATCCTGGTGATGAACTGACCAAAACGCCCATGCCCTGTCCCCCTGCGCTGTTGGTGGGAAGGAGGAAGGGGTTGGGGGAAGAAAGGGTGTCTTTAAGTCTTTATTTTACTCCTCATTATCATCCTCTGTCTCTGTTAGTAATAAATTCACTTTGTAACTTTAAGTTGAGCCTGTTTTGCCCTTGGACTGTTTTCTCCTGGTCCTTTTCTCAGCTCATGACTCCTTTGTTCAATTTTTTTTCTCTCTTCTGCCCAGCTGTGTTAGGGAAGAGCAAAGGAATGGCTGTCATGGGTGCCTGGCATTTGGTCAGAGTCAAAAWATGACAATTGCTGAAGTGAGTCCTGAGGAGAAATTTAGTAGCTTATAATACCTTAATGCAGCATATTTGTTTGATGTATATTACCTTTCTCAAGCTGTCACAGTCCCCATACCTTCACTTATTTGATCATAGTCCCATATTGATGTAGTTTTGCTTCCCATTCCTTCAGAAATATTGTTTATATTTCTTCCCCCTCCTGAAACCCACCCACAGACATCAGTGCTGTAAGTAAAGCTTGGAGCAGACAGTAAGAGTTGATTCACCATCAAAATCTTATTCTAAGTTAAAAGTATATTAAAACCCAATATTTTACTAAAAATACTGTTTTTAAAAATAGAGCAGAAAACACCCTAATTATTTACATTAGTCCCTTTCAGTGTCATTGAAATGCAAAGCTTAAACACAACTTTTTTAAAGACTGAGAACAGACAAAAACATAATTACTGTTTAAAAATACTATTTTAACAGTCCTCTAATGACTCCCACCTTAAGGAATTTATAACAATATTTATATATGTTTCCTTAGCATTTGAACACAAACTGACTCTTCGTGCTGCCATTGGGAAGGAYTGAAATAAGAAGAGAGTGAGCTCTTAAGAGAAAAACTGTAAAATTTATCTGCTGCACACCTGCAACTCTCCTCCGGCACGGTAAGTAATTTKTCAGCTTTGGGGTAGAGCTCCCGCCCAGACAGCAAGCAGAGGCAATCAGACCATGCGTTTYACCGCTTTGAAATTTGAAAGACAAGCCCACTGTGTGAAGCAAGTCCTGCAGACCAAAGCCGACTGGCTGTAATTGTGCCATTAAGTCAGTAACCCTGGGAGCAGCCGCTAGCAGCGAGCCCAGCCGGCAGGGCTGGCAGTGCCCAGGCTG